GAAATATTTCCTGAAATTTTACAAGCAAAAGTCAGTCATTATGTAGTGATTACATGTCTGAAATTATAGTAACTGCATGATGGCCCAATTATAGAAGGGATACCACGTGGAGGGCAGAAATTAAAGCAAGTCATCTCTGCTGGGGTATACCCTCAACCTCAGCCTCACAGCTCCTCACAAATTGAGTTCCAGCAAACACAGCCTTCAATGAGAATTTTGTTTTAAAAAGCCACAAGATGACAAGAATACATGAGCAAGGATAAGTAGAATAAATAAATAGAATTAGATCCAAAAATATTTCAGATTTTCAGAATGATTAAATACAGAAAACAAAATAAACATGCTTATGATGTCTAACAAAATAATAGAGGCAATAAGAACTATAATATACATTGAGTAGGAAAATTTGGAAAAGGACCAAACAGAAATTTTAGAAATAAAAAAATACATGAAATGTAAAATTCACTCAATGGGGAGAGCTGCAGGCTTCTGGTTTCTAGACCAGCAAATGAGAAGCTGGAAGTTGTCACTGCATCCTAACAACAAGTAAAAAGCTGAAAATATTGAAAAATAAATAATTCTTCTTAGATCAATGAGAGAAGTGATGTCACAGGGCAAATTCCTGCCCCCAAAATTGGAAAGACTGACAAGCAAATACAAAGAACCACAACTTACCAGAGCAGAAAATCCCGGGCAGAAACTCCCCCAGAACCAGTGCCAACGAAACCAGAACTGTAATCGAATTGCTGGAGGCTCAGTGTGGACAAGTCAAAGAGATAAAAACTCCAGGGGGACCCAGACATAGGGTGTCCTCTCCCACTTTTGTGAGTTTTACCTCCAGGATCTCAACCAGATCCTCCTAGTGAATATCAGAGAAAAATCCCCTCACGATTCTGGCAGGGGAAGGGGAACAGGAACCATTTTGAAATACACCAGAGCATTCTATCTTTCTAAACAAGGACTGCCCTCAAGAGAAACAATTTTACCAGAGCCGATACTATTGAGATTTTATGAAAACCTACCCAACCTAGGGAAATGGAAATACCCAACTCCGGCCCGCTATGGCCATCCTGTGCCACGTAAGGGGGAGAAGAAGAGCTGAGACACACTTGAGAAGGTCACAGCTGAGAGGCACAGACTCACTAGCAGACTGAGACCTAATCAAAGGACAAGAGAATGTCTCTCCCTCCCACATCTCACCACCACGTTGCTAAAGGCCTACGTATAGCAGTTCCTTTTGCCCCACACAGGATGTCCAGCTATCAGGGAAAAAATTACAAGGCATACTAAAAGGCAAAAGTCATAGTTTAAAGAGATAAAGCAAGCATCGGCATCAGACCTAGATATGGCAGGGATGTGAGAATGATCAGACAAGAAATTTTTTTCCAAAAACTATGATTAATATGCTAAGAGTTCTAGTAGATAAAGTAGACAGCATGCAAGAATGGATAGGCAATGTAAGCAGAGAGATGAAAATTCTAAGGAAGAACCAAAAAGAAAAGCTAGAGATAAAAAACACTGTACAGAAATGAAGAATGCCTTTGATGGGCTCATTAGTAGACTGGACAAGCATATAGAAAGAACCTCTGAGCTTGATGATATGTCAATGGAAACTCCCAAAACAGAAAAGAAAAGAGAAAAAAAAAAAAAAACAAGGGAAAAAAAGAACAGACTATCCAAGGACTGTGGGACAATTACAAAAGATATAATATACATGTAAAAGCATTATCAGAAGAAGATGAAAGAGAGAAAGAAATGGAAGAAAATTTGAAGCAATAATGACTGAGAATTTCCCAAAGTTAATGTCAGACATCAAACCAAAGATCCAAGAAACTGAGAGAACCAAGCAGGATAAATTCCAAAAAAAGAAAAAAAAAGACATGCATCTAGGCATATCATATTCCAACTGCAGAAAATCAAAGATAAAGAAAAAATATTGAAAGAAGCCACAGGAAAAAAAACCTTACCTATAGAAGAGAAAGGTGAAGAATTACATCTAACTTCTCCTCAGAACCCATGCAAGCAAGAAGAGAGTGGAGTGAATTATTTAAAATGTAAGAGAAATTAACCACTAACCCAGAATTCTGTACCCTATAAATCATCCTTAAAAGTGAAGGAGAAATAAAGACTTTCTCAGACAAATTAGAATAAAAATTAGGATAATTTGTTATCAACAGACCTACCTTGAATCCATGCAGAAATAGAAGTATAATGACGTACACCCGAAATTTATACAATGTTATAAACCAATGTTACCACAATAAACCAAAAAAGAAAAAAAAAAATAGACCTACCTTGAAAGAAATGTTAAAAAAAAATTCTTTAGAAAGAAGGAAAATAAAACAGGTCAGAAACTTGGATCTACATGAAGAAGAGAAAAGTGTCAGAGAAGGATTAAGTGAAGGGAATATAAAAATTTTTATTTTTCATATTCTTAATTGATATAATGCATAATAATTTGTTCAAAATAATAATAGCAACAATATATTTGATTATGTATACTTATGTATATATCTTATGTATTTATATGCGTATATATGTTTATACATAAGTGAAATGAATGACAGCAATGATACAGCAGATGAGACAGAAGAATTATGATTATTTTATTATACGGCAGTCACATTAGAACACGGACTTCTATTAGCTGTAAATGTATATTGCAAATTCTAGGGAAACCACTAAAAAAAGTAAAAAAAGAAGCACAACTGATATGCTAAGAAAGGAGAGAAATGGAAACATATAAAATGCTCAATTAAAACCACAAATAGCAGGGATTGCTAGGAAGATGGTGGTGTAGGAGGACTCTGAACTCACCTCGTCCCATGCACACAACAAATCTACAGCTACCTGTGGAACAATTACCACTGAGAGAGCACTGGAAACTGGATAAAAAGAACCCCCACAACAAGGGACTATACTGGCTGAGGTGGAAGAGGCAGAGATACCCCTCTGCTGAGGAAAAAGCCACATTCTAGCTGCAGCACTTCACAGCCAGGAGCAATCTATAGGACCAAAGCTTTTCCTGGAGGAGTGGAGGATCTGAGCAGAGAGCTATGCCACAATAAGCAGCCTTTGAATTCAGCACAACCGAGACAAGTGCTATAATGCCTGGCTTTGCTGGTTATTAAAACCAACCAGGAATACCCCCCAGAAAAACTGTCAAACATAAGAGAAAGAAAAGCCTGCTCTTAAAGGGCCCACACACAAATTCACTCATTCCAGAAACCAACACAAAATCACCAGAAAGAAAAGTGCACAGTCTTTTGGTGAAAGAGACTCACTTGATAGGTTCTGGGTACATCTCAGAGAGGCAGGAGGCAGCTGGGACTGCCTCCTCAAGGACTGAGACACTGGCAGCAGCCATTATTGTGACTAGTACAGGTGTGCTGACATAGACACTGGCAGATGCCATTGCAGTTCTTCCCCTGGCCTGTTAGCTCAGGGGTTTGCCCCACCCACTGGAGCACCGATTTAATCCAGCTCAGCCAGGGCGTGCAGCTCCCCCTAGGGACTGGCCCTGCCCACCAGCAAGCCTGAGGCTGTGTGGGACCTTTGACCTCTGCAGGGGGCGAGTGGGTCTACCTCAGTGGGGCAGGGTGAGCATGACGGGGTGGCCTTACATTGGCAAGTGCATGGGACCTCTGCAGTGGAATGAGCGGGTCCTCCTTGGTGGGGTGGGATGTGTCCATGGGGCAGGACTGCATTGATGGGGTGTGTGGGCCCACGGGTGGTGGGACTTGTCAGCTGCAGCCAACTTCTGCCACTGGCCTTCTCAAACAGCCACACAGGGGATCTGCCCCACATTCTAAAGCCTGAAAAGATTGTGTGCTTCCACATCTGGGGCTGGACTACTGCACTACTGCACTACTGAGAGAGCTGACAAGAGCCTCACAGGCCAGACGCCTACAGCAATTGTAAGCCCCTGAGGCTAGCAACCAGCTACGCTGGGGGCCTGACTTACTTAACAGCAAAACAGCAGCAGGAGTGTGCTATTAGACCTTGCAGCCAGTGGTGCTGTGGCTTGACCTGCTCAACAAAGTGACTAAAGTGACTGTAGCAGCCACATGCAGCTGAGCCTTACAATGAGCTGGCCTGGGGACAGCCTAGCCTACCTGTGAACCCGCAGCATGAGCAACCCCACCACAACAGAAGGGAACACGTAACCCACATAGGGGACACTCCTGGAAGATTTGGAACTGGTGACGAGAGGGAAACACACTGCTGGGCCTCATAAGGCATCTCTTAAATAAAGCCACATCTCCAAGATTGGGAGACATAGCTGATCTACCTAATACCTACATATCAACACAGAGAAGTAGGCAAGATGAGGAGACAAAGGAATATGTTCCAAATAATGGAACAGGACAAATCCTCAGAAAAAGAACCAAATGAAACAGAGGTAAACTATCTACCTGATAAAGGGTACAAACTAATAGTCATAAAGATGCTCACTGATCTTGGGAGAAGAATGGAAGAATTCACTGAGAACTTCAACAAGGAATTGGAAAATATAAAAAAGAACCAATAAGAACTGAAGAATAATGAATAAGAAAAATGAAAAATTCACTAGAGGGAATCAACAGCAGAGTAGATGATACACAAGAATGGATCAGCGAGCTGGACAAAAGACTAGAGGAAATCACTCAAGCTGAACAGATAAAAGAAAAAAGAATTAAAAAGAATGAGGACAGTCTAAGGGACCTCTGGGACAACATCAAGCACACTAACAACCATATTATAGGTGTCCCAGAAGAAGAAAGAGACAAAGGAACAGAGAACATATTTGAAGAAATAATAGCTGAAAAATTTCATAACCTATGGAAGGAAACAGACATCCAGGTACAGGAAGCACAGAGAGCACCCAACATGATGAAACCAAAGAGGCCCACATCAAGACACATTATAATTAAAATGTCAGAATTCAAGAGAGAATCCTAAAAGCTGCAAGAGAAATGCAACGTTACATACAAAGGAAACCCCATGAGCCTATAAGCTGACTTCTCAGCAGAAACCTTATAGTCTAGAAGGGAGTGGCAGAATATATTTAAAGTGCTGAAAGGGGAAAACCTACAGCCAGGAATACTCTACTCAGCAAGGTCATCATTCAGAATGGAAGGAGAGATAAAGAGTTTTCCAGACAAGTGACAACTAGAGGAGTTGATCAACAATAAACCAGCCTTACAATAAATGTTAAAGGGACATATTTAAGTGGAAAAGAAAAGACCATAAATAGGAATAAGAAAATTATCAAAGAAAAAAAAATCCTTGGTAAAGGCAAATATACAGTGAAGGTAGCAGATCAACGACCTATAAAGATAATATGAAGGTCAAAAGACAAAAGTACTAAAATTATCTATTTATATGATAAAAGATTAAAGGATACACACACAAAAAAGAGGTTAAATATGATATCAAAAACATAAAATGTGGGAGGAGGGGAGGAAAACAGTAGAGCTTTTAGTAACAGGTCAAACTTCAGAGACCATCAACTTAATATAGATTGCTATTTACATAAGTTATTATATATGAACCTCATGGTAATCACAAACCAGAAACCTATAATAAATACACAAAAAATTAAGAGAAAGAAACCAAATAAATACTAAAGAAAGCCATCAAATCACAAGGGGAGAGAGGAGGGGAGGAAGAAAGGAATAGAGAAGAACTACTTAAAATACCTGGAAAAAAGTAACAAAATGGCAATAAGTACATACTTATCAATAACTACTTTAAATGTCAATGGACTAAATGCTCCAATCAAAAGGCATAGTGTGGCTGAATGGAAAAAAAAAACAAGACCCATATATATGCTGCATACAAGAGACATACTTCAACCTAAAGACACTCACAAACTGAAAGTGAAGGGATGGAAAAATATACTCCATGCAAATAGCAATGAAAAGAAAGCTGGGGTAGCAATACTTTTATTAGACAAAATAGACTTTAAAACAAAAACTGTAACAAGAGACAAAGAAGAACACTAGATAATGATAAAGGGAACTATTCAACAAGAGGATATAACACTTGTAAATATCTATGAAGCCAACATAGCAGCATCAAAATATATAAAGCAATTATTACCAGACATAAAAGGAGAAATACACAGTAACACAATAATAGTAGGCAGCTTTAACACTCCACTTCCATCATTGGATAGATCATCATAAGAGAAGATCAATAAGGAAACATTGGCCTTAAATGACACATTAGACCAGATGGACCTAGTAGATATATGCACTCCACACCCATCCAAAAACCACAGAATACACAATCCTTTCAAATGTACATGGAACATTCTCCAGGATAGATCACATATTAGGCCACAAAACAAGTCTCAATAAATTTAAGATTTATGTGACACCAAGCATATTTTAGGACTACAACAGTATGAAACTAGAAATCAACTATAAGAAGAAAGGTGGAAAAGATACAAATATGTGGAGATTAAACAAAATGCTACTGAAGAACTATTGGGTCAATGAAGAAATCAAAGGAGAAATAAAAAAAATACATGGAGACAAGTGAAAATGAAAATGTGACATGCCAAAATTTATGGGATAAAACAAAAGTGGTACTAAGAGGGAAGTATATAGCAATACAAGCCTATCTCAAGAAACAAGAAAAATCTTAAAGAAACAATTTAACAATGTACCTAAAGGAATTAGAAAAAGAAGAACAAACAAAGCACAAAATCAGTAGAAGGAAGGAAATAATAAAAATCAGAACAGAAATAAATGAAATAGAAACTTAAAAAAACAGAAAAAATAAATGAAACTAAGAGCTGGTTCTTTGAATAGATAAAGAAAATTGACAAACCTTTAGCTAGACTCACCAAAGAAAGAGAGAAGGCTCAAATAAATAAAATCAGAATTGAAAGAGGAGAAATTACAACAGACACCTCAGAAATACAAAGGATTATAAAAGAATACTATGAAAAGCTATATGCCAACCAATTCGACAATCTGGAAGAAATGGATAAATTCTTAGAATCATACAACCTTCCAAAACTGAATTGAGAAGAAATAGAGAACCTGAATAGACCATCACCAGTAAGGAGATCGAAACAGCAATCAAAAACCTCCCAAAAAACAAAAGTCCGGGACCAGACAGCTTCCCCAGTGAATTATAACTAACAGTCAAAGATTTAATACCTATCCTTCTCAAACTCTTCCAAAAAACTGAAGAGGAGAGGATTCTTCCTAAACTCATTCTATGAGGCCAACATTACCCTGATACCAAAACCAAACAAGAACAACACAAAAAAAGAAAATTACAGGCCAATATCACTGATGAACATCGATGCAAAAGTCCTCAACAAAATACTAGCAGATTGAATATAACAATACATCAAAAGATCATACACCATGATCAAGTGGGATTTATTCCAGGGATGCAGGGATGGTTCAACATCCGTAAATCAATCAATGTGATTGATGTGATTTACGTGTTATTGATGTGTTTGTGTGATTGATGTGTTAATGTGATACACCACATTAACAAAACGAAGAATAAAAATCACGCAATCATTTCAATAGGTGCAGAGAAAGCATTTGACAAGATACAACATCCATTTACGATAAAAACTCTGAATAAAATGGGTATTGAAGGAAAATACCTCAACATAATAAAGGCCATATATGACAAACCCACAGCTAATATCATACTCAACAGTAAAAAAATGAAAGCTATCTCTTTAAGAAAAGGAACCAGACAAGGGTGCCCACTTTTGCCACTCTTATTTAACATAGTATTGGAAGTTCTAGCCAGAGCAATCAGGCAAGAAAAAGAAAAAAAAGAGATCCATATTGGAAAGCAAGAAGTGAAACTGTCCCTATTTGCAGATGACATGATTTTATATATAAAAAACCCTAAAGAATCCACCAAAAAACTATTAGAAATAATAAATGAATACAGTAAAGTTTCAGGATACAAAATCAACATACAAAAATCAATTGGTTTCTATAAACTAACAACAAAATAGCAGAAAGAGAAATTAAGAATACAATCTCACTTACAATTGCAACAAAAAGAATAAAATACCTATGAATAAATTTAACCAAAGAGGTGAAAGACCTGTAACACTGAAAACTATAAAACATTGTTGAAAGAAATTGAAGAAGACACAAAGAAATGGAAAGAGATTCTGTGCTCATGGATTGGAAGAATTAACATGGTTAAAATGTCCATACTTCCTAAAGCAATCTACAGATTCAGTGCAATCTCTATCAAAGTCCCAATGACATTCTTCACAGAAATAGAACAAAGAATCCTAAAATTTATATGAAACAACAAAAGACCCCAAATAGCCAAAAGAATCCTGAGAAAAAAGAACAACGCTTGAGATATCACCTTCCCTGATTTCAAAATATACTACAAAGCTATAGTAATCAAAATAGCATGGTACTGGCAGAACACCAGACACACAGATCAATAGAACAGATTCAAGATCCCAAAAATAAACCAATATATTTATGGACAGCTAATTCTCAACAAGAGAGCCCAGAACATACAAGGGAGAAAGCAAAGTCTCTCCAATGGGATGAGAAAATGTGGGAAAACTGGATAGCCACATGTAAAAGAATGAAAGTAGACCATTATCTTACAGCATACACAAAAATTCACTCAAAATGGATTAAAGACTTGAATATAAGACCTGAAACCATAAAACTTCTAGAAGAAAATTTAGTACACTCTTTGACATCTGTCTTAGCAGCATCTTTTCAAATAAGCTGTCTCACCAGGCAAGGGAAACAAAAGGAAAAATAAACAAATGGGATTACATCAAACTAAAAAGTTTCTGCACAGCAAAGGAGACCGACAACAAAATGAAAGACAACCTAACAATTGGGAGAAGATATTTGCAAATCATATATCTGATAAGGGGTTAATATCCAAAATATATAAAGAACTCATACAATTCAACAATGAAGAAACAAACAACCCAATTAAAAAATGGGCAAAGGATCTCAACAGACATTTTGCCAAAGAAGATATACAGATGGCCAACAGGCACATGAAAATTTGTTCAACATCACTAATTATGAGGAAAATGCAAATCAAAACTACAATGAGATATCAGCTCATGCCCGTCAGAATGGCTATAATTAACAAGACAATAAATTACATTGTTGGAGAGGATGTGGAGAAAAGGAAAGTCTCATACACTGCTGGTGGGAGTGCAAACTGGTGTAGCCCCTATGGAAAACCATACGGAGATTCCTCAAAAAATTAAGAATAGAACTACCATACGATCCAGCTATTCCAATGCTGGATATTTATCCAAAGAACATGAAAACATGAATGTATAAAGATAAATGCACCCATATGTTCACTGCAGCATTATTCACAATAGCTAAGACTTGGAAGCAACCTAGGTACCCATCAAAGGACGAATGGATCAAGCAGATGAGTTATATATACACAGTGGAATACTGCTCAGCCATAAAAAATGATGAAATCTGGCCATTTGTGACAACGTGGATGGACCTTGAGGGTATTACGCTAAGGGAAATAAGTCAGAAGGAGAAAGTCAAATACCATTTGATCTCACTCATAAATAGAAGATAAAAACAACAACAAACAAACACATAGAGACAGAGATTGGATTGGGGGCTACCAGAGAGGAAGAGGGGAGGGAGGAGGGTGAAAAGGGTGATTAGGCACATATGTGTGGTGATGGATGGTAATTAGTCTTTGAGTGGTGAACATGAGGTAATCTACACAGCAATCAAAATAAAATGATGTACACCTGAAATTTATATAATGTTATAAATCAACATTACCACAATAAAAAGAAATAAAATTAATTAAAAAGAAATGAAAAAAACATATATATACATATATGAAATACTGTGTAACTTCCAATCAATTAGAAGGAAAAAAATGTAACAATGGAGGAAACTATCAACTAATGCAAAATAAGCTTCGTAAGAAAAAAGTGGGGAAAAAATACCGCAGGCAGTAAAAATAGAAAGCATGAAATAAGGTAACAGAAATAAGTCCAAATGTATCAGAGATCATGATTAAATGTGAGCGGCCTGAGTATTTCAGGTAAGGAACTGAGATTCTCAGACATTTACACCAAATGTAAAAATCAGCTAAATGATGTTGATAGCAGACATATGTAAAACAACTCCCAGGGGAAATTAATAAGATAGAAAATGAATATAAAATACATAAAAAAAAACAAAACAAATTAAAAAGTCAACCTTGGGACAGGAAAGATGTTTGTGAACAAGATGCAAAGAACATGTTTATGAACATGTTTGAAAGAAACTAGATTTAAACAAGACACAAAATGTGCAAACTCTAAGGGAAAAGAGTGATAAATTCAACCACAT